TTTCGGATAAGGTGGTATACTGCAGTGCATGCTGGAGTACTTTTCGATCGGGAAAAAACTTCATTGTTGAGACATTAGAAAAATTAACATTTTCGCACGGTAATGTAACAGGAACACAATATAGGTTTATGGACAATTACGTAACCGGCACCACGATGTATCTACGTAGGGTCGTTGGTGAATTACGATGGTTCCTACCACCTCTTCGCATCTATTGAAAATCAAGAACTTCACAGCCCCGAAGGAGCAATACTGAATCAAAATTGTTTATATGCACATGGCCCACTTCAATCAATTTTAATATAGCACACACCAAAAGCAACCAGTCGTAGTCTTGATGAATATGTTCGAGGTTATATTCAAGGTTATTTTAGTTATACACGGTTCAATTCACTAGACAATACTATATATTGACATATTGAAGCTAGGAAAAAAAATTACAATATCGGAGAGATTTTCAGTGGTTTGTTGGCATTTTGGGCACAGCAAAGTTTATTCATCCAGTATAAGCAAACATTAGTGACACCTATGCACCAAATTTTTCGAAACAGTGTCTGTACAATTTCTACAAACGCTAGGCGCAGTTTAACGTAGACCCTAATAATTCACTATGCGCTCCTACGAAACTATGAAAAAAGGAAACATAGTACCTTTTGAAGAGCTGAAGAGAGAGAGAGAGAGAGAGAAATTAAAGGAAAAAAAGAGGAGGTGAAGGGTCTAGCAGCACAATGAGATGGAGCATTACTTCTTTCTTATCTTTAATGGAGCAAGGCGCTGCCAAAAATTGTGGGTTTTTCCCGCGTTATACGAAAAATCTTGTGTACCTGTGTCTTAAAAAGGCATCAACGCTCCTTACATCTAGCTTGTCAACAAGGCACCCAAAAACAATTCTATGGATTTGTTGTAAAACCGGGAGTGCTGCTTGCCGTGATTTTCAACTAGCATCTGCCTGACAACGAAGCCTCTAGATCACGCACATTGTAAGTAATATTACCGATTGGGCAAACCTGTCGTTGTTTCTTTCAGATCGTGATGTAGCCGTAACTCCAAAGGTGCGCCAAACAAAGTGACATACAAAATATTAACACTTTCGCGTTGCACTATAAGCAAAAATTAACCGAAATTGGAGTTTCTCCACCATATCAGCCCCCAAAGCTCCCCTGCCCCAGCTATTTACTCCCTAGCACGGAGTGAGTTCGGCACATGTCGTCGTAAAACGCTGCCTGCTTAATGACAGAGTTTACGAACAACATGGCCTTGTTAAACTCCCCAGGGAATTTCAGGTCACGTGGTTACAAACTCCTTGTAAGAGTTTTAGAAGCCCTTTGTTGTCGTGCCGTGCGTGTGCACACGCGCGCGCGCGTGTGTGTGTGTGCGTGCGTGTGTGTGTGTGTGCGCGCGTGTGTGTGTGTGCGTGCGTGCGTGCGTGTGTGTGTGTGTGTGTGTGTGTGTGTGTGTGTGTGTGTGCTTTTGTATGTACGGGCATCTGTTTGCAACGATCGGTTGGTGTTTAGTGTGAACATTTCAAGATATTTCGCGCCGTTGAACCATGCTGGACATCGGTCTGACTCCTCAGCGAAACGCCGCGAATGCCGCGCTTCAAAGGACCGAGTTACAAAAAATTTCGAAGAATAACCTAATAATAACAAAAGTAAGCTGTTAAGACCGCCAGCAATAGCTCCTTCAGTTTCACCGTCTCACAATTTGAAGCTGTCTGAAGTAGGCTTTCTCGGCCATGGCAGGCTGGCCGGCAACCGGTGTGAGAGTTGCGCCGGAAATGCCCTCGCCCCGTCTCTGCCTATGGTGGCTTCTCGGAGTGTCACCGGTATTCACCGGCTCCGTCATCTAAGCGGTAAGAAGGCCTCGCTATGCCCTCGGTATCAAGCTGGCATCGTAGCGAGCTCGCACTGCGCGCCAGTCACCGTGTCGAGCGAGCTAGCACCGACCACCGGCGCGGCAAACAATGTGTTCACCAAAAAAGAAAGGCTGCTGGGATGAATAACAGTCTTCTGCGCTTTGCGACCGCAGCTGTCAAATGACTAACGCAAAGGCGAGCGCCGAACGAGGCGGAATATGATCGTCAGCATTGCTTCTTTAGTTTCACCGTTTAAAACCTCGCAGCGGTTCGAAGTAGGCTTCGCTTGATCACGGCAGGCTAGACGGCAACCGGTGTGAGAGTTTCGCCGGCGACGCACTCGCCCCGTCTCCACCGATGATCGCTTCTCGGTGTGTCACCGGTAATTTCCCTTCTGCAAAATCTAAGTGGTAAGAAGGCCTCACTATGTCGTCGTTATCAAGCCAGCATCGTAGCAAGCTCTCACTATGCGCCGGCCGACATGGCGAGCTCTACAAGCTAGCACCGACCACTGGCGTGGAAAAGAATGTGTTTCACAAAAAATAAAGGCTGCTTGAATGAATAACAGTCTTCTGTGCCTTGTGACCGCTGCTGTGAAATGACTAACTCTAGGAGATCGCCGAACAAGGCAGAGACACACAAAAACGGCGTACGGCTTGCATGCCCATGCAGTGCATGCGAGACACAGGAACCGCGACTGCGAACCGGGTCCTTCGTTTAAGTTCATCGCTCCGTAGCTTAAAGGGGTCGTCAAACGGTCGCTTCACAACGACAATGCGGCACCATCGGCAGCCACATGCACCAACTGTATCATCAGCCCGAGTGGACCTACATAGAAGCTTTGCCTATCGAGGAACGCGGAACTCTATGGCATATCGAGCACGCGCAAGAGGCGTCATCGGCGTCTGCCATACGCGATTCGCGTCCCACAAGGACGCTGCTTAATATGACGTCAAAGTTAAAGTTAGCGCTGATTGCGTATGACAAAGACGCTGACGAGTGTCCCAGTTGAACGAACGCAAGTACGGAAAAGTTGCGCGTTCCTCGATAGGCGAAGAATTACTTATTGTGACGTCACCTAGTTAGTGCGTGTATACGCCGGTGGCTTCGCATTGTCGCTTTATGGCAAGCGTTTCACGACCCCTTTAAACTGCGTAGATAGCGGGCACATATTTTTGTGCATGGGAAAAATCACGAGCTCAAAGCTGCACATCAGCAAGCAATTTGGTATCGCCAGCTGTCAATCATCGAATCACCGCGCCGTACTCGTCGAAAGCAGTAGTGACGGTGTACCTTGGTTCACCACTAGCGCTACTGATGGATGGTAAAATTTTATTTCGTCAGAAAGCAACTGAGGATGATTCCGTGTTAGATGGCCATCAACCCAAGGTTGGCGGCGACCTGTGTGGCCCACTCCATGACTCTTAACTGGACGACTGGGTCTGAACTGGTCAACACGGCCTCCCAGTGCTCAAGAGAGAGATCACGCATAATATCCACAGGCGGCGGCACTATGATACATTCCCAAAGTATGTGATCATATGTTGCCACAGTCTGACACCATTTGCATTGCGGCTTTCGCCGCCGTGTTCTCTTCCCGATTTTGTAGCGACTGTACAAAGAAAGACTATCTGTGTTGTCGGAGGAACTCTTCTTTCTGGGTGAGGAGGAATTCCTTCGACACTGGCCCTGCCGTTTTGTGTTCGTCTGGGAGAGACGTGTAAGGCTTGTTTTCAGGCCTGCCTGGTATTGGTAGGTTAGTCTTTGTTTAGTACTCATACAAATACCTTGTAAATACTATGTAAATATCTGACATATAGATCTCCACATTTCATTTGTGTGTACTTTGTTTACCATGTATTGTGCATATGTAGACATTGTTTTTGCAACAATTCCTGTGTAGTTGGGTAAGTTGTGTATGTTGTGTTCCGTTTACATATGTACACATATCTTTTTGTAACAACTTTTGGTGTGTCTGTGGATATTGTGTTCTGTCGAAATGTTCTGTTGGATTGTAATTGATGTTCACTGTCTGTGAGAATAAATTTCTCTAAACAGTCTTCCTTTCCAGGAAAGGAATAAAAGCGATTTTGAGGCCCCAGATGCGTTGATAAAAACATCGTAGAAGGCGGCTCTCTGCCTACCGCCTTGAACGTCCACAGAACGTCTCGAAGCCCTTGGTATACACAGTCATTATAAGGAGTTGCGTGCAGTGCAGTTCATTTCCGGAGATAAGCTTACCTTAACCACTACTGGGAAAAAATTGCTACGCTGCGTAGGTTACCTAGCTCGTCCTCAGTATGTGGAAAAGGAACTGTAGTCCATGGCTAAACAGCTACGTGAAAAGATTCTAGTATCCCCTATTCCAAAAAAACATGAGCCCCCGATATCTTAAAGGTCATAAGAGTGTGCGAGCTCGCAAGTTACAGCGACAATTCGGGAACAATCCGGACACGGTGTACACAGATGTCACCCTATGCGGCACGAACAAGTACGTGCTCGCAGTCGTAGCAGCAGCCCAGGGTCAAGGCCTTATGACTTGCGCCACGGCACGAGCCACGTTCGCGAATAACGCTGAGGCTTTAGCGATCGCGCTTGCTATTAAGGCTAAAGATGTTCTGGGACGATCGTCCCTTGTTCTCACCGATTCCATGGTCGCATGTAGAATCTTTCTCAAGGGAAGACTACCACACAACACCATTCGCCTATACAGACCAGACCTAACGCAGGACCATGCAATCAGCTGGAGGCAGGGTCACGCAGGACTCGATGGCAATGAGAGAGCGGACGGCGCAGCTCATGCTTTAACCAACCGAGCGGCCTACCACTCCGACGACAGCCTCTTTTTACCGCGAGATATTTTTGGAAAACAACGGCTTGAGCGACGAAGGTACAGTGTACCACACACAGCTCTAACCAGGCGGAACTCTTATGACTGGCGCCGTATACGAACAAACATACATCCAAATCTTTCGTTGAAGCTTGTCATTCACCCTGCGATGTACAGCGATAGTTGTCCGTGGTGCGGAGGCAGGCCCACTCTCGCCCACATAACGTGGGATTGTCAGAACATGCCGATCGAAATTAACTCGCCGCTAATAGCCAGCGAAATTTCCGCAAGAGAGCAGTGTGAGACTTTGCTCACCAGCGAGGATCTGGGGGTGCAAGTAGCGCTCTTCGACCAGGCGCAGCGGGCCGCTAAAGCAGGTGGAGTCTTGGGATAGGGGCCTTACCCACATGCTCCCCGTATCTTTTTTTCCTTGTTTCTTCTTCAAATGAACGTTTTGATATATATGCTTGGCCGCAGGCACTTGCGGTAGCTGTAGTGGTCAACGGTCAGAGCCATAATTGAATGGACAGCAAACTTGAGCTGAGGCCGCCTTCTCGTGGCTTGTTAAAGCATTGAACACCACTGCAAGACTATAATAGAGAGAAACGCAACGCGCGTCGTGTGTACACGCTGTTGGAGGGCCATGATTTTTCGCCGAGCTCGCGCTGACCATGCTCTTTATGTACTGTAGTATTACTAGAGGACGTGCAAAAATAAGTAGTGAAGATAAAAAAGTGGTTGCGTGGATTTATCATTTAAAAAAGTGGCAGCATATCCATGGCGTGAACGATGGATAGTGGGGCAAAGCATCCGTCCGTCCATTCGTTCTTGCTTCCGTTCATCCATGCGTCCGTCTGTGTGACCGTCCGTGCGTCCATTCACCCGTTCGTGCGCGCGTCTGCTCGTGCGTCCGCACGTCCATCTGTGCGTCCGTCCCGGCGTTCGTCTATGCATCCGCCCCTGCGTCCGTCAATGCGTTCATTCGTCGGTGCAGCCATCCGTTAGTCCGTCCATGCATCTGTCTGTGTGCCCGTTCGTCCATCTATTCAACACTCCAAGTACCAACATCTTGCATTTTTTATCATATATTGTGCATATGCACCGCCATCCAGCGGACATTCCAAGGACTAAACGAGAGGTGGCACACAAACACTTTTTTACGGCTTGCGCATCGCATCTACTTCCCACCTTTAACCACCTCGAGTTCATGGTATATACTAGTTCACTGTATTCGTGGCACTGCGGCCCAAAGCTCGCCAAACCTTTCTAAAACAAAGGAGGTTATGCCCAGCGAGTATAACGTAGCCACCCTTTCTTGTCAGATAGTGCTCAATGTACATGCCAATGGCTGCTAAGAGGGAATGAGGGACAGGAGAATTCAGTTTCTAGTTAACGCGCACGCTGCAAATTTTTTATTGTTCAACAACGCACTAAAGAATTCTCTCACCGGCACCACCTTGGAGGTCAAATTGTAAGACTGGTTACACACTACGACTACTACTATGACTACGAGAGACGGACGAGTGCCGCTATAAGGAGCTTCACCCCTAAAATGACACAGCTATGCCTAAAAGGCAAAGCAATGAACGCGATAACAATAAATTTGGCACTCACGTGAAGAATTGTAAGCAGATCGAAACGCTTCCCGCGTTTCTCTGCAGAAGTGACGCATGAAACGTACTCACAAGTACAGTACACCGCGAATAAACGTCTCAGTTGTTACTTCGTTGTGTCTGAAAAGCGTGCGTTTTCGCAAACTGAGACTGTGCAATGATTGCAGTGACCTTTGGGCACCCGATAAATACAACAGAATCGTTCCTGTGAAAGCCTTAAACCAGCCAAGACGTATGATTGTCCCCACCACCAGAAAAGCGCACGCATGAAGTTCACCCTGCCCCATTTTCACGGGAAAAAGTACGCGTGAGAGATGTGAGCTCGCGACTACTCATCGTGACGATGTGGTGACGCGCGCTCATTGCGCCATCTTGCTGGTAATGCTGAAAGCACGATAGTTTTCCGCGAGAAGCCCGTCACCAGCGATAAGTGGGACACCTAAATAGCTTGCCGTCTGAACGTTGAAGAAGGTGCTGCTCGTGGCTCAGTGGCTAACGCCTCGCACTCACAAGTCAGAGGTCCCACGTTCGGTTCCGCGCACCGGGATCATTTTCTGGGTTGTTTTTCTTTCTTGCGTTTTAGTGGCGAAGCTCGTTACGGCGTCGGCAGAGTGACCCTGTCGTAACCACCGGTGGCACATACCCGCCTCTTGTTAATTCTTGAACTGGCAATAGGGGGCGGTACATGCACTACATGCTGAAAAATGCAAAATGGTACGACACAAGAGGGTGTTACTTGTAGAAAAGAAGGATTGACGTCACACGTACAGAAGGAGAGAGAGACGATCGCGTGACTACGATCGCGTGCTCTTCGGCAGCGACGTACGCCAGGGGGTGCTCTATAGTACAATAAAAGCGCTGTTTTGGCACGCGCGAGCATTCGGAGTCTCGGCGACGGAGAATGGAGAAGGCTGCTGAGGGGCGTGCGCCACTCACGCAACTCGCAGCTCAAAGAAAGCGGCGGCTCGCGCTTGAAGAAGGAACCCCGACGTGCGAGCGTGCGAGGCAAAAAAGTGCCGCAAGCTGTGCGGTGCCACCGCAAGGACCCTGCATTACGACCAGGGGCCGAAGTGGCGCGGCAGTGGCGTGTGAACCCGTCTTCGCCCCACTCTTCATCATTCACCGCGGGTATATGCTGTCATTTTATTGCGATAGCAGTTATATGAACACTCACAGCTGGATTTTACCGCTGGCCTTGACGTCGGCGTCATGCACCGTATATGTCTATATATCAATATATATAAAAACGCAAGAAAGAATAAAATCCAGAAAAAACACGCTGATGTGTGGAATCGAACTTGTGACCTCTGCGTCGTAAAAAAAGAGGCATGAAACACTGAGCTATCCAGAGCACAGCCTTCGCGCTCAAACGGCAAGCTACTTATATCTCTGCCACTGCCAGCTGTTCATGAGTATCTCGGCGGGGAGGTGGAGAATTGTGTTTTCAGCATTACCAGCAAGATGGCGCAAAGAGCGCACGTCGCCACATCGCGCGGAGGCGCCCGCTCTAATCTCCTACACGTACTTTGCTCAGCGAGATAAGCATGTGTGAGGCTTTCTCACGTGCCATTATCTCGCGGTGGCGAGGAGGGGAAGGTCATACGTCTTCACTGGCCTCGGGCTTTACCTGTAACGACTCTGCTGTAGTTACCTGGTGCACAATGGTCTCTGCAATCATTGCAGTCTCCGTTTGCGAAAAGTTCCTGCTTTTCAGACACAGCAAAGTAACAAATGAGACGCTTATTCGCGTGCATCCATACCTGTGAGTGCGTTTTGTGTGTCATCTGTGCGTGAGGAACGCGGTGCATGTTTCAATCTGCTTTGAATTCTGCGCGTGACCTCTAAATTTGTTGCTATCACGTTCATTGCTTCGCCTTTCTGGCAAAGCTGTCACTTTTTTTTACATATATACTAAATACGTATACTTAAGCGGTGAGTGACAGTGATGATGACGCCAACACCGGTGGCGAAATAGAGGTGGAAGCGCACATGTAATTTCTATCGCAATAAAAATTACCGTAGTGTAGCGGGTAGCGATGCTCAAAGCTCGTGGATTCGACCCCAGTTGACGAAATGTTTTTCTTCCCTTTCTGATGGTGCACATTTTTTTGACGTCATCTTCCTGACAAAAATGCGTCCCTGGTCATGACGATTTTTGACATTAACTACTTTAGTGTAGAATGTTAGTGCGATACCGAGCAACCAAGCTGCAGCGCTATAAAAAAAATAGTACATCAATTGCGTGGAATTGTGGTGTGACCGTAAAGTCTAACTTGCATGCTCAAGCACGGCTGCGCTAGAGGAGCGCATCAAAATGTTATATTTAAAAATTACTAGGTCACGCTATAATGAATCTTTGTTCCTGTTGTGTATCCTGAACTCGCCAGCGACTGCCGATGACGGCTTCGACGTGTGAACAGCAGTGCTACCCACTCATGAAACTTGAAAAGCCCGCTTGCTAAAGCTATACGAATACAACCAAACTATCATGCGGATTTATTTACCTTTGTGTTGCATTTAGGCTGAAGTGACGAAAACGATATCTCTATAATTAGTATGAGGTGACGCTCAAGAAAAAAAAATTAACTTCAAAAATTTTAGTGCAACTCACGCTAAAAACCTGGTTCAAAACATGACTGTTTCTTGGTGTAACAATTCATGCGATGTTCAAACACACCAAAAGCTACATAAGAAAGCGTTTTGTTATTACTCCGAAAAATTGTGAGATTCGCACTTACACACCACCGCAAAAAAAAATAACGTTGACCACGTACGTAAAGAAAAATGCTCCCTGTAGGTGCCTTTAACAAGCTTTTACTAATTCTCACAAGTACTTTTGAACACCTGGCCTATATGCTTGCGAAACAATTTCCGACAATAACCAAAAAACAGCAACTTACCGATTTCGTACGCTAAGCCGCAGCGCACAGCCAAAGTAAACAACAGCCACACCAGTTCCATGGCGACCGTCTCTTCTACACAACGTTGCACGAAGCTTCTCAATTACTGGCTGCAAACGCTTTCAGATGGTTTTATGGCCAATCTCTCGGCCTTTCTATCTCATGATAAGATGCCCCAGAAAAAAAGAGCCATTACCTTATGGTCTTGTGATATCTGGCCAGGCGTGGGCGCGAAATTCAGTCGAACAGGTGTTGGCTCTCTCACATTGCGCTATTCTAAATCGGTAATCGAATATCCTCCAGTTTTCGGGCGTAGAAACAAGTCTGAAGGAGTACAATGAAGCAAATGCCAAATCACTGGGAGCGGCCTCACAGAAATGTATGTGTGGAGCCATTATTCCGTCATTTTCGTATTATGCTAAACGTGAGCACTACTGGTGATTTCATTAAGGTAAACCTTTCCACTTTAGACGAGAAGGAAATGCTAGCTTGAAACAACTGGGGCGCTCTCGCTTTTAGTTAGTTTCAGTTTTCTTTCAGTGAATGCGGCGCACGTTTGAAGTTGTATTCGGAAATGCAAACTTGTATAGTTCGCAAAATCTTCCAAGATTTTTTCATGTATTCATGGATGTGGTATACTGCACCGCACTCACCTAATGTGTGCATAAACTTACATACCTTTTATTGAAGCAACTGAATGCTTCATTAGACCCTGACAAATATTGCGAAGTGGTTCTGAAAGAGAGAAAAGAAATCACAGAAGCTAAAGATAAAACCCCTTCATTCGGTTAACTGAACTGGTCCACGGAATAACAATCATGCTCAAACAGCAACGATGTCGGTGCACACATTCGTCCATTGTTGAATGATCTGATTAGCGGTAAAGCGTGTCGGCA